TGTGTGTGTGTGTGTTTTTGTATCAGTGTGTTTGTGTGTGCGTGTGTGTGTTTGTGTATCAGTGTGTGTGAGTGTCTGTCTGAATGTAAGTGTGTGTCTGTGTGTGTTTGTGTATAGGTGTGTATGTGTGTGCGAGTGTGTGTTTGTGCATCAGTGTGTGTGTGTGTGTTTTGTATCAGTGTGTGTGTGCATGTGTGTATTTGTGTATCAGTGTGTGTGTTTGTGTATCAGTGTGTGTGTTTGTGTATCAGTGTGTATGTGTGTCTGTGTGTGTTTGTCTATTGTGTGTACGTGTGTGCATGTGTTTGTGTATAGGTGTGTGTCAGTGTCTATGTGTTTGTGTATGTGTGTGCGTGTTTGTGTTTGTGTATCAGTGTGTGTGAGTCTGTGTGAGTTTGTGTATCGGTGTGTATGCGGTGTGTATGTGTGTGTGATGGAGCATCTGCTGTTGTGGTGAGGTCAGCGTTCTCTGTCCTGAGCTGATCTGAAGTGACGCAGGTGTGGTTTTCTTTTAGTTCTGCTGGAGTTGAGGCGTGCTGGGCTTTACTCACTCATTGTGATCTGACTTTCACTACTTCATTACTCAATTTGGTTTGGTCTCACTCCTGCCTGTCGGGTTGTTGGAAATTAGTGTCATGTTTAATGTTGAAAAGTCTGATTAGTGTATTGAATGGTTACTTTTAATGTCATTTGTTATAAAACGGATTAATTGATGTAAGTCTTTCTTTTCTCTGACATAAAATAACAGCGATAGCCTCCACTCATCTTAAGACCCATCTTTTTATTCAAGCCTGACTATAATTTTTGGACTTATAATATTTAAGATGTTTTTCTGCTTTCATTATTTGCACTGATTTTCAACCCGGTCCCAATTCTACCCCTTAGCCCTTACCCCCTCACTTTGCGCATTCCTGTGACGGAGTAGGGCTGTCCCAATTCTTTTTAGCTTGAAGGCGTAGGGCTAAGGGGAAGGGCTAGATACCCCTCGAAAGGGAGATTTTTCAGGACCACACTCAAAACCACGGGATAAGAAAATTTCCCAGAATACACCAGCCTCAACGGAAGGGAAAGCTGCACCCGGAAATAAGGATATCCACAAATTAGTGTTTTGTCATTGTTACGAATTGTTTTAATATATGCATAATCGCGGTTGTGTTTTTCGTCACGCTTAGAAAAAAAAAAAAACACTAAAATAAAAACCAATAAATTTCGCTATCTATAATCCCTAATAAGGGCGATGCAGTGGCGCAGTAGGTAGTGCTGTCACCTCACAGCAAGAAGGTTGCTGGTTCGAGCCTCGGCTGGGTCAGTTAGTGTGGAGTTTGCATGTTCTCTCCGCATTCGCGTGGGTTTCCTCCGGGTAGGTGAATTAGGTAAGCTAAATTGTCTGTAGTGTATGAGTGTAAATGAGTGTTTATGAATGTTTCTCAGTTCTGGGTTGCAGATGGAAGGGCATCCGCTGCGTAGAACAGGATAAGTTGGAGGTTCATTCCGCTGTGGAAACCCCTGATTAATAAAGGGACTAAGCTGAAAATAAAATAAATGAATGAATTAAGGGTGTCACGATTTCGATTTTAAATCGAAATCGATCAAAATTTATGCTCAATTTCGATTATCGAATCAAAAAATAGAATCCTCGATGCTGCCACGCCCCCATGTCACGTTAGCTTGACTTGCCAAACGGGAAAAAAACACGCTTGTTGAAGCGCTTGTTAAACTGCAGATGCAAGAGACCTGTCGACAGAACTTAAACACTCTCCTCTTTCAATGAACTCTCCAGTGTGGAAGTATGTTGGATATCCAGTGAGTTATGTTGACAACGTTTGTGTTGGCGACAAAAAAAAAACACAGTTTTGCAAGCTCTGCTATGTAAGAATTAGGGTTGGGCCGATAGACGTGGGCGCATCGCGATCCTCCGCCACGCCCCTGTTGCAAATCCACTCTCGAAAAGTACTCAGGCCCTGTTTACACTAATAGGTCTTTGTTTTTAAATGCCATTTTAGAACTATAACGATTTGACATCCACAGTGGCGTGTAGCATTTCTGAGCAGCCCTCCTTCCTCACTACCGCTGAAAATGCACATCACGTGACCACACACACTCAATCACACACCAGACACAGACGCACACACAGTCATATGCGCTCGAGACAGGGAGTCCAGGCAGTCTGAGGATCAGTAGACTGCTTCAATCTTTCACTCACTTGTACTTAGACATTTTAGCGAACACCTCAGATACTGTTGGCTGGTTCCTGTTGGTTGTGCGCCTTTTTTACCGACACCATTATAGTGACACAGATCACTGCCTATTTACGAGCATAGATATATACATTAGATGTCGCCTACCCTGTTGTTGTTGGAAGGAATGCGTCAGTTGAGCCTCCATTTTGGAACAGGGTAGCGCTTCATTGAAATGAATGCGGGACCAAGGTACAGTGGAGGACTGTGGCCATCCAAAGCCAGAGATATACACATATACACATATATCTATGATCGGGAGTTTTCCTGGATTTTTTTTTCTAATTACGAAAATTATAATTTTACATCACTTTTCTACATTGATGGATCAGTGATTGCACAGGCATTCCTGACAAATTCGTGTTTGTGTGTATGGAAATGTGCTATTCACCCTCCCTGTTAAATTTGATCTAATCTGTGTCCTGAAGCTCACCTCCTCTCCTGCTTTCACTTCTCATACTGATGGAGGGAGCGATTCGTTTGTGAATGAATCTCCGTTATGAACGACTCCTTCACTAGCCGACAATAATACAAGTTTCTGGCACCGCAGCGTCTCGTTTTGATATTTCTTTTGCATTGTTTGCTGATTTCATTCAACAAAACTAGCATAAGCTGAGTATTTAGTGTGAGTTGGAGCTACTTTGCCTTATGGTGAATGTAGTAAGTGACTGTTATTATCAATAACGTTACCTGTTTAGCACAAGAGTTCAGAACATACAAAAACGTAAAAACGTACTCTTACCTATGAAATGTTCTGCCTTTGTGCTTTGTTTTCTTTGTTTGCTCGTTTCTACACCCGTAGACAGCGCTAAAGTCCCGCATATTCACGTAATAACACTGTATTGACTAGTGCGGTTGAATGACATTTGTCCTGGGAGTACTGTACCAATGTGGCGGCGCTATTGACGCATGCTCAGGGTCTCTATGCGATATCTAGTGTATATATCTATGTTCATGAGTCCTGCAGAAAAAGTGATTGACAGGTGGTAATTATGTGTGTAACTTGCCTTTATTCATTTACTGTATGATTTGTTTATGGGTAAAACAAAGATCATGCAGGTCAGGTAGTTTAAACGGTAGGCTACAAATAATTAATTCGTTATTAATTAATTAATTATTCATAATCAAAAATCGAATCGTGACTTTAGAATCGAAATTGTAATCGAATCGAGGATTTGGAGGATCGTGACACTTAAGAATGAATGGTACTTCATCTATGGGAACGGTGAGCGGGGAGAACCAGCTAATTTGCATTTAAAGGCACAGGATACAAAAACAGCAACTCTTTGCTCTAAGCACAAAATGGGCATATTCGGCATTTTATAATAAATAATCTAATGGGTATTATCCACATTCTGGAGACACCAAATACTTTGTAATTGTGTCTTACATCTAGCCCTATAAAGGATTTGACCTTTAAACACTGATGGTTTCCTCTGTGTTTTCAGGAGGGCCAGCGGTTAATGCAGGAGAAGCCGGAGCTGAGCGCGCTGGTCAAGAAGAAGCTGGAGGAGATCCGCGAGTGCTGGCAGGATCTGGAGAGCACCACACAGGAGAAAGCCCGGCAGCTGTTTGAGGCCAACCGGGCCGACCTGCTGGTGCAGAGCTACTCCAGCCTGGACCACAGACTGGAGCGGCTCGAGGACCAGCTGGCGCATGTGGATTACGGCCAGGACCTGACCTCCGTCAACAAGCAGCTGAAGAAACTGCAGGTCCTTATTCTTTCTTATACACACACATGGTAGGGCTGCACAATATATATCGTTTCAGCATTGATATCACAATGTGCGAATCTGCAACGCAGGACCTGCAAAGTCCATTTGGGAGTATTTACCAGGAAGCACAGATCAGAACGTGATTTGTGGGTCATTTTATTTTGTATTTTAGTCCTATTGTATTTATTATGGCTGTGTCTGTCCACTGAAGTGTTTTTCTCGAGCTGAGCTATTGTTTTCTGTTGTTCAATGGTAGCATCATGTTTTTTGAGTGCCTGCAGCGTAGCGGGGAACAGTGTTGTCCCAATACTAGAATTCAATACCAATCCGTACAAAATTTTTTGAAAAACGTCCATTTCCTGCTAACATTTGAGCTTGTTCTTAAACAGCACTGATTGGCCATTGTGTTCACATGCTCAACAGAAATGACTGCAATTGGCTGTGAAGGTCATCAGTTCACCGAACTCACTGCTGTTTGCTTAGTGTAACCACAGATACAGGGACACTGGAGCGTTTTAAAGCCGCGAAGATCAATTGATTCATCAGCGGATCACTCGTATGTTAGCTTATAAACAGACTAGCTGATCTTCGCGGCTTTAAAAGGCTCCAGTGTCCC